CTCAAGTTCAAGTCCCCACCGCACATTAATATTTGTCTTTATACATGATAAAAATCCAATAAAAAGTGAACGACCAAAAAAACAAAAACAAAGCTAAATATGATGTAAACCTTTACATGAGTGTTTAGTTGATTTGGACAGGTCACAGGCTGATGTTTCAGACGGGTGATACTTCGAAAGGTCATCGTGAGCTCCTGACTGCAGTAACTCCGCTCTTCGTTTCTGTATCTCAGCGTTTTAACTTCACCTCATCTGTTTGACGTCAGCTGCAGTAACTCGCAGAAAAACGTGCTCTGATGTACTCTCACCGACTCTGTTTCTCCTGCGTGAGTGTTCTGGCCTTGTCCTTATACGAGTCTAAAGTGGTTTTGTTGATCTTATGTGTGTAACCTTTCTCTGACTACAGACGCTGTGTCCATCATTCTCTCACACTCAGGACAGAATTGAACGGACAGAGAGATAGTTAGACTTTATATCTGTGTTATAAATTCATTCACCTTGGAACATGACAGCTCTCTCCGTTTATTTTTGACCTGTTCTTTAAGTGTTTATATAGAAATTCCACAACAAGCCTCACGTGAGTTTCACATTTGTGTTGCCAGTTTCAACGCTGAAATCCAGTATTTATTATTTGGTAGTTTGGTATTTTACACTGATTTAATATATGTTTTATTTTTGGTGAGGTAATGCTAAGTTTACATTCAGTGTTGGGGAGTAACAGATTACATGTACCGCTGTTACGTAATCAGAGTACAAATTATGAGTAACTGTATTCAGTTACAGTTACTGTTTCAATGAGTGGTAATTGGATTACAGTTACTTTGCTGAAATAAGTGGATTACAAGGCGGTATTTTCCTGTTTTCACATTTTGTGCTACCTCCCATTTATTTATTTATTTTTATTTCGGTAATTTCCACTCATTGCCGGAAACCGAAACAGAACGCGACAGTAAGAGCGATGTAAACGTCATGTTAAAGTTGGCGGTGTCAGTCACACAACGGAAGCAGCAGTGCATTGGTAAAAACGCATTTGTGTCTTTTGAAATTCTTCTCCCGATGTGTGAGATATATATATATATATATATATATATATATATATATATATATATATATATATATATATATATATATATATAATATATATATATATATATTAATAAACAAATATAAAATCACCTACAACTTAAATGTGAAACAGGAGCTACTGGCACTGGTGAAAACAACCTGCATAGACTCATGATGTCTGCACCACTGTCCTATAGTGACCTGCCACATGAGTGGACGTGCACACAAACACACACAAACACACACACACAAACACACACAAACACACACCTTCATCATCGTCATCAACCTGAGAACCCGCGGACCACGTCTCCTTCCGTAGTTACTGCGCGGACACCGACGTCTCGTGTGGACTGTGTTTTCTCACGTAAACCGTGCTTCCTCCTGCGCGCCTCTAAACCAGAACTAACACCAGGACTAATCCAGGACTAACCCAGGACTAAACCAGGTCTAAACTAGGACTAAAGCAGGACTGAACCAGGTCTAAAACCAGGACTAAACCAGAACTAAAGACCTGGTCTAGACCTGGTCTAAACCAGGACTAAAACCAGGACTAAAACCAGGACTAAACAACATGACACCTAACAGTAGGTTGACATAATTTAAGTTGATCTCATATAAAAAATAATTTCTCTATCAATAATATTTTTTAATATGGTTCATGAAAGGCTGATCTTGTTCTTGTCTTTTAACAGACAAAACCTCTTATGTTAAGATCTCGTGGTCTTTGTTTCTCTACAGGAAACAGTTGTTTATTCATGGAGACTTGGGCTCAGACAATTTGAAGACAACAAACAAGAATTTTCAGGATGTGGTTGTTACATTCATGTCGTTTAAAAAAACATGACAATATCAAGTAATCCAAAGTAATCAGATTACATTACTCATTTTAAATAATTTAATGGATTACGTTACAAACTACATTTTGGGCTGTGTAATCTGTAATCTGTAGGGGATTACATTTTAAAAGTCACCTTCCCAACACTGTTTACATTTGGACATATTAACGTGTCATTAATAAGTACTTTCCTGTTTTTGATAAGGGATTAGAAATTAAATGGTAATGAGGAACCTTTGTGCTGGAGGTGTTGCCCCAGGTTGGGCATGAAAAACAACGCTCCGTGTCGTTTCTTCTCTTATTTTTTATCTTTCAGGTCAGTACACTGTAAAAATCACTCATATATTACACTGTGAGGTCATTACTTAATGTTTTACCGGTATGTGATACTGTTTATTATGTTTATTGGTAATTTTCTGCTAATATTTGTGAGTTAATGGTCAAGGTTTTGTGCCTTCGTCATTACTATTTTTAGTTTGTACGACCATAAATGAAAACAAAAAAAAATCCTTAAATTTTTCATTCTCGTTACTGTTTATTTTGTGCAATCATAAAAGATTAATTTGTGCCTACAACAATATTATTATTAGTATGTACGACTATAAACAAAAATACGTTTCTGCATGTATGTATATGTGTGTTATGCATTTATGTGTATAAACATTTATATTGAGTATATGTACTGGATACATATGATGCGTGTATGTATGTTTTTGTATATTTGTGTGTATATTTCTGCATAATGACATGTAAGCACTCCAAAGGTGATATATATATATATAT